TTTTTTACTTCAAAATAAGATATGTGCAGTGTGCATAGGAATTTGTTCATAGTTTTTTTTTAAACTATAGTCCAGCCCTCCAACGGTCTGAGGGACAGTGAACTGGCCCCCTGTTTAAAAAGTTTGAGGACCCCTGTTCTAGACCATCAAAAGTTTCAAAATTATATCAGTACTAGTAATAAGCATCCTAGAGTGAAGCTTACAAAGGAAATAGCTCTTTATGGTTGAAAATGAAAGAGCTGCTTCCAGGTTATGGCTCTACTAACCCAAGTTTTGTTTAAAAACAAAACCCAGCCAGGCCCCGGCGAGGCTCAGTGGTTGAGTATGGACCTATGAACCAGGAGGTCAGGGTTCCATCCCCAGTAGGGGGCGTGCAGGAGGCAGCTGATCAATGTTTCTCTCACATTGCTCTTTCTCTCTCTCTCTCCCTTCCTCTCTTGGAAATCAATAAAAACAAAACACAAATGCCTCTACTGTATTTCTCATCATCACTAAATCCAGTAGGTCCATTGGCAACCCCGAAGCCCTCTCCCCCCAGTCAATGGGCAGCTGTCTAGGTTCCTTCCCATCACCTAACGGTAAGGTGTCAACACTTGACCGCAGACCCTGAGGGTGCCCTCCCACCCCCGGCTCACCCACAGTGCCACCCACAGTGCCACCCATAGTGCCACCCCAGCTTTGCAGTTTGAGGCGCTGAGCCAGAGTCTGGGCTCAGTGCCTGCGCCTTCATCCTGGAGACCAGGGGACCCGGCTTCCTGTCCCCGGGGACGGCAGACAGCCCCGCGCTGCCAGATGGGAAGCAGAGCCCCGAACAAAAGGCCGCCACTTCAAAAGGGCCCGCCCCGCGCTGTGAGCCGCAGCTGTTCTCACAGAGGCCGGAACAGACTGACGTTGGCAAAGCCTGAACCGCTCTTCCCTGGGACACGCTTGCGCAGACCGTGGGAAACCCCAGGGAACTGCTCCCCAACGCCTGGCCTGAGCCAGCGCGCAGCCTGCTGCCTGCTTTGGACAGTGCGGCTCCTCTCCCTTCCCTCTGGGAAAGCAGCAGCCGCTTCTGCCGGGAGCCCCTGGGATGGACTTTGAACCGTGGAAAGGAAAAGGGAGCCTCTGTGTGTCGCCCTCAGGCGGAGGGTTCGGGTGGCCGATCCTTGCAGAGGTGTCTGCATTGCAGGCCCTGCTTTGTGCCCGAGCTGCACACACCCCTCTGCCTCCCCGTGCCACGCCGTGTGCCCTGCGCGGCTGTGGTGCCCAGTGTTCAAGGGAGCGGACACCAGGCGATCCCTGGTCAGGATCACCTTGGGAGGAAGCTTACCAACGGGCAGGATCGGCTAGCGGCCTATGCTACCGATGGGCCTCCGAGCCCACCTGCGCAAGGAGGGATAGCAGACTACATTTCTTTCTCTTTTTTAAAGAGACATGCTTTATTTGTTATTTTTTTAAAATATATTTTATTGATTTTTTACAGAGAGGAAGGGAGAGGGATAGAGAGTTAGAAACATCGATGAGAGAGAAACATCGATCAGCTGCCTCCTGCACACCCCCTACTGGGGATGTACCCGCAACCAACGTAATGCCCTTGACCAGAATCAAAACCTGGGACCATTCAGTCCACAGGCCGACGCTCTATCCACTGAGCCAAACCGGCTAGGGCTTTATTTTTTATTTTCATTTTTATTTCTTAAATATATTTTTATTGATTTCAGAGAGGAAGGGAGACGGAGAGGGAGGTGAAAACCTCAATGATGAGAATCATTGATCAGCTGCCTCCTGCACGCCCCCCCACTGGGGCTCGAGCCCGCAACCCGGGCATGTGTCCTCAACCGGAATCGAACCGGGGACCCTTCAGTCTGCAGGCCGACGCTCTATCCACTGAGCCAAACCGGCTAGGGCCAGACTACATTTCTTAACTGTCCAACAAGTAAGAGGCAACTTGAAATTAGCCTGAAAAATAAAACTATGACAGAAACATGTTTGTGAGACAGTGAAATAATATGCAAAAAGGTAAACAGGTGAAGTGCACAGGCCTACACAGGTGGACACATCTGGAAGTACCGCACAGGTCAGCAATACAAGATGACACTGCAGCCTGGCCGGCGTGGCTCAGTGGTTGAGCTTCAACCTATGAACAAGGTGGTCACAGCTCAAATCCCGGTCAGGGCACATGCCCGGTTGTGGGCTCGATCCCCAGTAGGGGGCGTGCGGGAGGCAGCTGATCCATGATTCTCTCTCATCATGGATGTTTCTCTCTCCCTCTCCCTTCCTCTCTGACATCAATAAAGAGATACAATTTTTTAAAAATAGATGCTGACAAATGGATCAACACCCGCCTGAGCCAAAGAGCATTCTAAATGCAAATGCCCAGTCAGGGGTGCAGGCCTGAGGCTGGCGGTGGTGAGTAACATCCTTCGGCTGGGGAACCCCCGGGAGCGAGGAATGTCTGGGACTAACTTGGGACCGAAGTCAGGATGCTGGGAGGAAAAGGAAGCACGTGCAGGAGGAAGAAGCCAGATAAGGACCCTCGGAGACAAACAAAGTGACTTGTGCTGAGAAAGAAAGCACTTCCGGACAATGTTCTGGAAGAAGCCGGAGGAAGGCTCCCAGGGTGGAGATGAGAGGAGAGCCCAGGGCTCTGAGAAAGCAACGGCCACTCGGGCTCTTGGCACCGGAAGCAGTTCAACGCCTCCAGCGGGCCCATCGAATCACAGTCGGCCCCACCTCAGTACACACAGTTTCCAACGCTTTCTCCCCGAAAGCCAACTGGCCAGTCGCTGAGTAAATAAAGCTCAAGCAGAAGGCGAACCTGGGTGTGCCGGACAGGGATTCAGTCTTTTTTTAATTTTTTTATTTTTATGGATTACAGAGAGGAAGGGAGAGGAAGAGAGAGAGATAGAAATATCAATGATGAGAGATAGTCATTGATCAGCTGCCTCTTGCACACCCCAGACTGGGGATTGAGCCCGCAACCCAGGCACATGCCCTTGACCAGAATTGAACCCAGGACCCTTCGGTCCGCAGGCTGATGCTCTATCCACTGAGCCACACCAGCCAGGGCAGAGATTCGGTCTTCATCACGGCTTCACTTGCTGGGACACAGCCATCAGGACCTGAGGAAACCTTCGTTTGGAAGTTTCCAGAGAAAGCCAGTAGGGGCGGAGGAGTGTGGCCGGGGAGGGGACCAAGCATGCCTTTGCTTCCCTCGATCCCGTGGACTGGGCAAACGTTCGGGGTCCGCTACATAGCTTGTAGACGGCACACAGGGCTGCACCTCATCTTCTGGCCTTGAGCTCTTCCTCTGCACACCTGGGGAATTCACTAGCAAACATTCCACGGGATGAATGGGCCTGGAATCCAGGCTTAGAACCCGAGGAGCCTGATTCGGGGTGGTTGTTGGGCACTGACTTCCCCTGATGAAACGGAAGAGTGAGAGTTCTGAAGGAACCTTGCCCTTTCCACTGAAAAGCAGCAGACATTCAAGGATTCAGAAACAGTGCCCAAGCCCAGCCAGTGTGGCTCAGTGGTTGAGCGTCAACCTATGAACCAGGAGGTCACGGTTCCATTCCCGGTCAGGGCACATGCCCGGATTGTGGGGCTCCAGCCCATGTGGGGTGTGCAGGAGGCAGCCAATGAATGATTCTCTCTCATCATTGATGTTTCTATCTCTCTCTTCCTTCCTCTCTGAAATCAATTAAAAAATATTAAAAAATAAAACAAAATGGTAGGGAAACATTGCCGACCATTAAAACAAAATTATTTATTCTTTAAATATATTTTTATTGATTTCAGAGAGGAAGGGAGAGGGAGAGAGAGGTAGAAACATCAATGATGAGAGAGAATCAGGGATCGGCTGCCTCCTGCACGCCCCCTA